GACGGCTAGCGCAGATAGCCCTCATGTAGCTTTGCGCGAAATTCAAAAACAAAAAAACAAACCAATTCTTACCAGAAACTTTTTTGTTTTCAGAAAAAACTCGACACATGACCACACCACACTTACCCAAAGGAAAAGCACAAAAGTGATGCAAGAAGTTTTTGAACTTAAATTCCTATGCAAGTTGTCTCCATAACTTCACTTTGCTCATTTTATATTACATATATATATATATATATAGGTCTAAATTGCTTGACATCAACACAGTATTATACAGTACCTTGCAAAAGCATTCAACCCCCCCCCAAAAAAAAGTTTCCATATTTTGTTGCTGTCTGAGTTTACAAACATGAAACTTTATATTTAGAATCAACACAATCCACTCCAACCTGAGAAAGCTAAAAACAGTGCTGGTATAATGTAACTAAGTTAAATTTTCAAAGGAAATTAGAATATTCTCAATTGCATAAGTATTCAATCCCTTTGCTATGGCAACTCTAAATCAGTTCAGGTGCGAAAGATTAGTTTGAAAGGTTACAAAATCAGTGTAATAGTCTCTGTCTGTGTGTCCTGCATCTGTTCAAGCCACATAGTGATACAACAAACAAACCATGAAACAAGTCAGAGATAAAGAGGTATAGAAGAACAGATCAGGAGAAGGTTACAAGAAAATTTTAAAGTCCCTGATTATCCCTTTGAGTATGGTGAAGTTAATCGTTAAGAAGTGAAATGTTCTTCATGCCACCCTTCCAAACTAAGCAGTCAGGCAAGCAGAAAACTGGTTAGGGATGTCACTGTGAAGCCAACAGTGACTTTGAAAGATTTGGAAAGTTCTATGTCTGAGATGGAAGTCAGTGTTCATATGTCGACAATATCTTGGTCCCTACACAGAGCTGGGCAAGTGGCAAGAAAGAAGCTATTATTGATAAAGAATCATCTTAAATCTTGAATAGAGTTTGCAACAAAGCAAGTAATTGATTCTGCAGACAAGTGACAGATAGTTTGGTGATCAGGCAAGACAAAAAATTGAGCTTTTTGGTCTAAATTCAAAGCATCACATCTGGCACAATCCCAACACAGCACATAACCCAGTCAACAACATCCCAACTGTCAAGCTTGGTGGTGGTAGCATCATGTTATGGGGAAGCTTCTCATCAGCAAGGACTGGGAAGCTTGTCAGGATTGAGTGGAAAATGGATGGTGCAAAGTACAGGCAAATCCTGGAGGAAAACCTGCTTGAGTTAGCCAAGAATCTAAAACTGGGTCAAAAATTCACATTTCAGCAGGACAATTACCTGAAGCACAAGCCAGAGCCACAATAGAGTTATTTCAAAAGAAGAAAGTGAATGTCCTGGAACAACCCAGTCAAAGTCCTGACTTGAATCCAATAAAATATTTGTAGCAAGATTTGAAGATTGTAGTCCATCAATGAACCCCAACAAACTTGTCAGAATTGGAGCAATTTTGCCAGGAAGAATGGGCAAAAATTACACCATCCTATTGTGCAAAGCTGGTAGAGACCTATCTAAAAAAAAAACTCACAGCAGTAATTGCTGCCAAAGGTGCTTCCACGAAGTACTGATTTAGAGGGCTGAATAAATACTTGTGCAATCAGCAAATTTCAATCTATATTTTTTTTTGGCAGGTTTTGCTGACATTCAACCTCCTTCACACATAACAGTGTTAATTACAGTTTTGAATAAAACAAATTCATTAAAAAAAATTGTTTACGTTTCGTCAAAATATAACATTATTGGCAAAGTACTGTAAATGTTGGACTAAAATAATAAAATTATTAAACTACTATTTATGGTTTAAGTTTATAAAGCAAAATAAAACAGTTATTCAAAGCAAATTAAACATACAAAGATGAGTATTTATATAACTCAAAATTAGTTCATCAATATATGAGAAAAAGTTTATAATATTCATTTATAGTACTGTAAAAACTTTCAAGTCCTAATGAAATCAGTTCCAAATCTGTAGGTAGGTTCTCAAGCTATGATAAATGACATTTTGAAAAATTCATACTTATAAAAGACAGTCTCCCTAAATATTAGCTGTGAACTCATAAAAAAATTACTGAATAAATAGATTTTTAATGTTAACAAGAAAAAATACTGAAAAAGTCAATTGTTGTCTTTGTGATCACATAACTGGATTATAAAATACATTTTTTGAAGTATACATTAAACACTAATTAGTTTTATCCTATATTTCAGTTGTTGATGAGTTGCAACCTTCAAGGAAGTCCTGAGAAGGACTGTATGCAATGGCAGGATTCAATCTTGGGTATCCAAGGTTGTCAAACTTTATGCTAGGTTGATCGTGTATTATGTGTTATTAATCAGTTGGATGTAATAAATTTCCTTTATTTTTCTTGTTCTCATATGTGGTTATATTCCATTATTTCAATATTAGTGTATTCCATTTTATTCTACAGTAGTTTTTCAAACATACTGAAGAAAGTTTGGCATTACAGAGCTTTGTATGGCCATTATGCTCAGAGTTTTAACTTTTGTTGTTGTTTTTTTGTGTGACCAATGAATTGTAGTTCATATTCACGAGGGATTTTGTAAATAGAATTTTTGCTCTCTCTCATTGGTCTTGGGGCAGTCTTTATGCTGTTTGCATATCCTCTGTATATTTCCAGAGGCCTCTGACACAGAGGAATACTTCTGTATCTACAATTTCCTTTTAGTGAAAACAAAGATAAACACCAAGAAAAAGTACAAGAAAAATACAGATACACACTGCTATGTTCCCATATGTCAAAGGCTTCTCTGACAACATACAGAGGCAGGCAAATAGCATAAAACTTGAATAGTGTTCATGAATAAACAATAATATTAAAAAATTAATAATGAGACTCAGGTGATTGTAGAGGCAACAATGACTGCTATCCAATCAAAACTATAAAGTATAAACAAACTATTAATACAGAAACATATGCAGCTCCAAACTTCTTATCCTCCCACTGTGCTTCACACTATTATTTCTTTAATGTTACTTTCATTAACAGTACTGGTTAGATTGTTTAATAAATCTAGTTTTATTATTTTAATTTTTTTCATTTTCATGTATTTTTTGTAGAGATTGTTTTGCATTATGAGCTTGGTATATGGATTTAGGTTTAACCAAGTCTTACAACCTGCTATTGGATTTACAGCTAAAAATATCACAAATGGTAAGGGTACCCTGTTTATGATTTGGTTTGTTTGAATTTCAATCAAAGCTACACAAGGGCTATCTGCACTAGCTGTCCCTAATTTAGCAGTGAAAGACTAGCGGGGAGGTAGCTAGTCATCACCACCCACCGCCAGGATAGTGACTAGATATCACACAATCATAACATGCCCACAAGTTACTGTATGAAGCAGTGTAGCATCTCCAGTTTTAATCTTTCATGGATAAAGACAAAGACAAAAAGATTTACAACAACTTGCTGCAATTCAAGATTGACACCTTTCCAACCAAATATTTTACAGATTACATGAAATATGCAAACTTTCTAAGCCTAATTCAGAAATATTAGAAATACATGGAAAACAAACACAAGTGCAATAAATTATTTTGCCTTAGAGTTAAGGGTGAATATCTTCTTCAATTTCAGTGAACCAAAATAAAAAGGAATTGGCTACTACACTTAGCAGTTCTGAGATCTGTTACCATGGTTCTTTTCCAATCACTGCATAAACTAACCCAAAATATAGTTCCATCTATTGACTAGAGATGCAGTTTGTTGCTAAAACTCACTCTTCAGTTCATCAACTGTTCATGGATAGAGAACTTGTTAGAGACAAGGTGGCCATGGTTTTCTCATATGATAAGCAACATAACAATAGAGGTATCCTAGTTTTCTCACTATATGAACATGAGATTAGTTTCTCATTTTCTTGTTGGAATTTAGCTATCTACATGTAACTTAATAGAAACTATCAAGTACTAAAAACATTTTGACTTTTTCTAAATCAGTGAAGAATAAAGTTGAAACATTTGTTA